TCCCACATGTCATGGCGACTCTGAGGGTGCATTCACACCAGCCCTGTTCAGTCCACTTTAATATAACTCTAGTCCGTTTGCCTAGAAAGTCCAGTTCGTTTGGGGAGGTGTGAATGTGCAATCGAACTCTGATGCGGACCAAAAATCTGAACTCTGGTTCGCCTAAAAACCTAGGTCTTGGTTCAGTTGAAGTGAACTCTAGCACGGTTCGAATGCAGTGCGAATGCAAGTGGACTGGAGACTGCTCCAAAAGCAGGAAGTGGACTACAGCGCAGGGCAAACAAACGTGCATTTCTATTACCTCATCGGAGCCGTCAGCCTCCTCGTGTGAAAAACAACATTCTCCATGGTCTCCTGCTTTATCTTCTGCTCATGCTGAATCCATTGCGGAAAAATTACAAAACAGAAATCCTAAAACCGCTAAAATTTGACGCCACTCCGTTTTTGTTTTAATTTCCAAAAGAAGAAGAAGAAGAAGTGTATTCTTTTGAGGTTTTTGTGTCGTTTCCTTCAGTAGTTCTTGATGCAGCGCCACCACAGGTGTGTGTGTGGGGGGGACAGGTTGGCTCGACTGACTCAGTGCAGCGTGAATGAAAACCGCACCAGCTGAAAACGTAAACAAATGTTCTGCATTTTGGTTCCTAATCAAACCGAGTCTACCGGACTATCAGGTGTGAGAACATCCTGAGCAAGACACCCAACTGCTCCCTGGCCGCTTACATAGCTGCCCACAGCTCCACCTGGGTGTACCTCACGTATGATGGGTTAAGTGCAGAGAGCTAATTTCACCATTGAATGGGAAAATGCAATGATGACAACACATATCACTTTACTTTACTTAAGACACAACTCATTTCTTTTTGAATTAGTCAAACCAAGACTTTATTGCCTTTATGTTTACTGGTCTTAAAATCATAGTTTGGTCATTTTTAAAGTCATGTTTTTTTATATAGGTATTACCTCATCAGCTGTGACAACAACATAGAGGATGGAGTATTGTTGAAAAGAAGTCCACCTAAGAGTCAGGCTAATAGCTAGACAGACATGTGTATAACAGTTTTAAGGCAAAAAACAACGTTCTCATAGTTACCATAGTTTTTTTTTTTTTTCTTGTGAAAGTGATAAAAAAAAGCTATTGAAATTCTACACTTTTTGCATGACACTTTATTCTTTGAAGCTGTTTTCTTCACCCAACATGTTCTCAGTTATTTTTTAATTACCTGTTATTTTTTACATCTTGTCTGATTCCTTGTGTATGTTTCTTTGTACTGAAACTCTGGCACAGCAATTTCCCGCAGGATCAATGAGTTTCTAACTTATCTTATCTTATGTTACCATGCCAACACGTCCTGAGGCTGCTGAATGTGTTAATCAGAGTATCTTGTTGAATCATGGTGGACTGACGTGCTCAGTACAGCACATACCACAAACGTGATTCGACTAACCTGTTAATAATAATAATAATAATAATAATAATGTCATCACAATGTCAGCACTGTATGTTTCCATACAATGCCGAAATTAGTCTCTGCATTTAACCCATCCAGAAATGGTTTCTATTAATGTTCAGTTTTTTGAAGGCTTTACAAAGTTTTGCTTTGTATACTTTTTACTTTTCACTTATGTTCAATTTAGTTCCTGTACTTGACAATTTTCGGAAATCTCACTTTTGTTTGGCAAGCCATTCAACCTTACTTCTTTTGAAAGTTTCAAGCATAAAAAATGCATTCAACTCAAGGGAGAACAAAAACAAACCAAACAACGGTGTTGTGTAATAACATAATATAAAACTTATGAAGTACCAGTTAAAATTCTAAACCACATTTTGTAGCTTTTTTCAGACAGTGTATGATGTTTTTACTTACACAGTTTATTCTCATTTTCAGAGAAAAACTATTTGTCAAAAGTAAGACTTTAATTTACACCAACAAGGTAAATCCCAGAGCTGATGCAATGAATAAGACATAGATCAACTAAACATGACATCTCTCAGGTCCTGTGTTAGGTCTTCAGGTTAGTTTTTCTTCCTCGACTAGTTTCCTCGGGGGTTTCAGGTTCACATTGTACATCATAAATCACTGAATGACAAAATGTCAAACTGGAATTTTACTCTGAATGTGTCAAACACGAAGTCAGACTCAGGAGTAAAGAAATGAAATCTAGGACAAACTAATATTAGATCATTTTTAGGACACTTCAATCATGATTTTGGGAATTTTCAACATCAACATGCAGCTGGGAGTTCATTAGTACTTGGACGCATACACAATAATAACAGATTATA